TCCCGATAAACACAGCATGTGGTGTTCTTGTGTATGTCATCTTTTTTAGCTCGACTATTCAATAAAAAAAAAGTAGAGCTATTGTAGTCACCAGAGTGTCGGCGTCGGCGTAACCACTTATGTTAAAGTTTTTGTAATACCTCAAATATTTTCAAAGTCCATTGACATACGGCTTTGAAACTTTGCACACTTGTTCACCATCATGACCTCAACCTGTAGACAGGAGGAGATAACTGTATCAAGCATTTTGACAGAATTATGCCCCTTTTTTGACTAAGAATTTATGTTTAAGTTTTTGTAATACCTCAAATACTTTCCAAATCCATTGACACATGGCTTTGAAACTTTGCACACTTGTTCACCATCATCACCCCAACCTGTAGACAGGAGGAGGTAACTGTATCAAGCATTTTGACAGCATTATGCCCCTTTTTTTACTTAAAATTTACGTTAAAGTTTTTGTAATACCTCAAATATTTTCAAAGTCTATTGACATATGGCTTTGAAACTTTGCACACTTGTTCACCATCATCACCCCAACCTGTAGACAGAAGGACTTAACTGTATCAAGCATTTTGACAGAATTATGCCCCTTTTTCGACTTAGAATTTACGTTGAAGTTTTTGTAATACCTCAAATATTTTCAAAGTCCATTGACATATGGCTTTGAAACTTTGCACACTTGCTCACCATCATTACCCCAACCTGTAGACAGGAGGATGTAACTGTATCAAGCATTTTTTTTTACTATCAAGCACTAAGAATAGTCGAGCGTTGCTGTCCTACCGATAGCTCTTGTTAAGGTTTAATGAATGTTTAGATATATTTTATCTATGAAAGTGATCTATACTAATATGTTCACCTGTTTATGATATACGATGGTCTGATATATATCACATAGCATGCATACATCTAGTGATCTTGTGATTGTGCATTAACAAATTGTGGTACTTTAAATTATAAACTTCTTTATAATTTACAGAAATCCAAAATCTATGTTTCAGGGTATATATCAGAGTGATGAAAAGATAGTGAATGCCTTGTTTGATAGAGACCAGTCTGTAAGAGAAGCTCAGGTAAGCTCTATTTGATAGGGACCAGTCTGTTAGAGAAGCTCAGGTAAACATTGTTTGATAGGGACCAGTCTGTTAGAGAAGATGTTAGAGAAGATCAGGTAAGCTTTGTTTGATAGGGACCAGTCTGTTAGAGAAGCTCAGGTAAGCATTGTTTGATAGAGACCAGTCTGTTAGAGAAGCTCAGGTTAGCATTGTTTGATAGAGACCAGTCTGTTAGAGAAGCTCAGGTAAACATTGTTTGATAGGGACCAGTCTGTTAGAGAAGCTCAGGTAAGCCTTGTTTGATAGAGACCAGTCTGTTAGAGAAGCTCAGGTAAGCATTGTTTGATAGAGACCAGTCTGTTAGAGAAGCTCAGGTAAACATTTATTTGATAGGGACCAGTCTGTTAGAGAAGCTCAGGTAAACATTGTTTGATAGGGACCAGTCTGTTAGAGAAGATGTTAGAGAAGATCAGGTAAGCTTTGTTTGATAGGGACCAGTCTGTTAGAGAAGCTCAGGTAAACATTGTTTGATAGGGACCAGTCTGTTAGAGAAGCTCAGGTAAGCATTGTTTGATAGGGACCAGTCTGTTAGAGAAGCTCAGGTAAACATTGTTTGATAGAGACCAGTCTGTTAGAGAAGCTCAGGTAAACATTGTTTGATAGAGACCAGTCTGTTAGAGAAGCTCAGGTAAACATCGTTTGATAGAGACCAGTCTGTTAGAGAAGCTCGGGTAAACATTGTTTGATAGAGACCAGTCTGTTAGAGAAGCTCAGGTAAACATTGTTCAGGTGGACTTATTTGTTTATTTACCTTTCATAAAAATCAGAGAGGTGTGTCATGGTTAAGAGTACTTTCACTTTAAAGAATTTTCTAAGTTAGTTTGTGTGCCTTTATTATTTCAAGTTAATAACCAGAAGACCATTGCTTTTTGGAAGTTTTTACAGGCATGAAACATATTGTTGTATTATCACATGTTTATATCAGATAATATTGTATATTATATACAGTTAGTTGTGGACTGGCTGGAGAGTTGTGCCCAGGATGATTGTGAGAATTTTGCAGATAATATCAAGTTTTTCTCTGACAGAGCTGTAGGATAGTAAGTATAATTTTGTCACAATGCCCTCTCTGTTGTTACAATGATATGGGGATAAAAAAACACCTTTAGCTAGCATTATACTCATACACTGGTTTGTGTATTCCATCCAGCTATGCTTTCTTTCAGTTTGGAGAGTTACAATTTTCAAAATGAAATTTTACATGATCAGCCATATATTGTTATGTTAATTCTCTTTTAAGTTTGAATTTAACATACCATTGCAAAGTCATATCTGAACTGTAAGTGATTGGCAATTTTCACATTAGTATCGATAATGATTTAGCATTATTACATGTACATGACATTTAATTAGCTTCATTATACAAAGGCAGGATTGTTATTTATACTTACCTATAGATTTTTTTATTTCTTGTTTATGCCATCAGTTATCAGTATGAAAATTGTAGAGTATGCTTTCTTCTCTGAAAGTTGTCTTTTATGTTAACCCTTACTAAGTTATGTGTGTGTTAAAATTTACTTAGTTATGTTTATGTTTAGCTTCACAAATATTTTTGTATATGAACAGTGAGAATGCCCGCCATAGGTTACAGAATCAACAGACTGGGGTACCAGCTGGTGCAGAGAGAAATCTTATTACAGAACTCGTGAGTATTCTTACCAGTTATAAGTTATTAAGAACAATAAATACACATGAACATTGTGTGTGAAGTATATAGCACTATGATTGAACTTTAATTAATGTATAAAAAGAATGTGATACATATCATACAATAGATAGAATGCCAACAATATATTTTTTATACATCTTGAAGGTGGTTGATTTAGTTTATGTGGTTGTTAAACTTTTATAGGACCCTGATGCACCAATAAGACAAAACAGGCTTCTAGATGACCTAGACAAAGAAGATGAAGATCGCTTATTGCAGTATATTTTTGTGTGTTTACGAGCAGGGCAACTTGAAAAGGTATATTAGTAAATCTGTAATTAAGTTGTTATTATTTTCTTTTTATGCTTATGTTGAAACATTAAAAAGTTCTTTCACTTGTTTTACAAATTCACTCATGTTTAACATGAAGCTCTATATAGCTTCCCATAAGGCTTTTTTGCTTGCTGTCTCTACAATTTAGAATAAACATTTTTACTTGACAGTTCTCTTTCTTAGAGTATCAAAATGGTCCAAACTAACTATACCTGGAATAAATTATGTAGACTACCAATACACCCACATTGCATTAAAAACTATGTCAGTAAACAAGGTGTCTTCAAGCGTCTGGATCTCATTGTAATTCTATTAAAGGCACAGAAAATGTGCTCTGACTGTGGTCAGGCATGGAGGGCAGCTACTTTAGAGGGATGGAAATTATTTCATGATCCAAACTTTGAGGGTGTTGGACCAGAAGGTCAGAGACGAGCTGTAATTGGTAATCCACACCGAGACATTTGGAAGACTGTGTGCTGGAATATGTCACAAGATGTATGTATAGTTGTGTGTTATGTTAAGCATTAGTTATAAATCAAATGCAGTTAATTGAATCAAGTGGAAAGAAATGAAACTTTAAAAAAATGATATGGCTTTGAAAATCACTTATATTTTTTATTTTTTACTATAATTTATTAAGGGTAGCTTTTGATTTGTACAGCTATAGGAATACTTGATGCTTATCAGTATCATTTGATTTTATAATTTTTATCCAGTTATATAGAATTGTATTTTAATACTCAATTTGGTTTAGTTTTTGTAGTGTATATGCCAAACAGTAAAGCAATGAAATAAACAATGTTTTTTTTTTTTTTTTTTTTAATTTATCTAAGGCCATCCATAAAAAATTGTTTGTTTGTAGTGCTCCGACCGACCCATGAAAATGGCCCCCGACTCTAAAAATTTTTTACACTTTCGAGGATTTTTTTTTTTTTTTTGGAGATCATTATGTGCCCATTCTGTTAAAAAGAACTTTCTCCAATAACTTTTCAGACAAATTTTGAACTGAGAAGTAGAAGAGTAAAATAATTTTATTCCAAAACCAAAATAAACACACGCTTTTCATCAATATTTTGCCAAACTTCGACCCCCGAACATCGGCGATTTCACATTCGCCAGAAACCTTAAAATTTCGCAAAGGGCATAAAAATTCTCAGTTTCCAAGCCAAACATGTGAATGAATTGTTCTTTTTGTTAATTATTAAACATTAAATCTATAAAAGTTGATCCCCTTTTGAAGATATTAGCTAAAATAATTGCCGATCGGATGAATCTCTTACACACTGTGTGAAGCTGTACTCGATTTTCCTACTCATTCCACTAAATTCTGCATATATATACGTTTAGGTACAGTTTATGGAAATGATGCCCTCTTCAAGGTATTTTTACAAATATAAAGTTTTCGTCTGGACATATTAAACCAGACTAAAATTTGATTTATTTTCAGTATAAAAGTGAAATTGTAATTTAATAGCCATATTTTTTAATCTTTGATGCAAACAATTTTACAAATCATGCACTGTTTATTTTTTTCTTTTGTTTTTGTTCCTTTTTATATGCCCGAAAGGGCATATTATGTTATACCCCCTGGCGTCCGTCTGTCTGTCTGTCCGCACTACCGAATAGGGATAGAGGGCCATCTAACTGTAAACAGAACAAAAGAGAACAGATAGAACAAATAGAGTTCATTCCGTAACAATAGAGTAAGGGGCCATTGGCCCTCTATTAAACAATAGAAAATAACAAAAGAAATGGCCCTTTATTCCATTTCGGCCGGACGTCCGTCCGTCCGTTAGCAATTTGGTTTCCGGAGCATAACTTCAGTTCCATTTGGCCCACAATGTTTAAACTTCATAGGATGATAGTCCATATTGGGTAGAAGACCCCTATTGATTTTTGGGTCTCAAGGTCAAAGGTCAAGGTCACTATTACCTTGATACTGAAAACAGTTTCCGGAGCATAACTTAAGTTCCAATTGGCCCACAATGTTCAAACTTCATAGGATGATTGTCCATATTGAGTAGAAGACCGCTATTGATTTTTGGGTCCAAAGGTCAATGGTCAAGGTCACTATGACCTTAAAACTGAAAACAGTTTCCGGAGCATAACTTTAAGTTCCATTCGACCCACAATGTTCAAACTTCAACAAATGATTGTCCATATTGGGTAGAAGACCCCTATTGATTTTGGGGTCACAAGGTCAAAGGTCAAGGTCACTATTACCTTGATACTGAAAACAGTTTCCGGAGCATAACTTAAGTTACATTTGGCCCACAATGTTCAAACTTCATAGGATGATTGTCCATATTGGGTAGAAGACCCCTATTGATTTTGTGGTCAAAAGGTCAAAGGTCAAGGTCACTATTACCTTAAAACTGAAAACAGTTTCCGGAGCATAACTTAAGTTCCATTCGACCCACAATGTTCAAACTTTATAGGATGATTGTCCATATTGGGTAGGAGACCCCTATTGATTTTGGGGTCACAAGGTCAAAGGTCAAAGTCACTATAACCTTGATACTGAAAACAGTTTTCGGAACATAAAATAAGTTCAATTTGACCCACAATGTTCAAACTTCATAGGATGAGTGTCCATATTGGGTATAAGACCCCTATTGATTTTGGGGTCCCAAGGTCAAAGGTCAAGGTCACTATTACCTTGATACTGAAAACAGTTTCCGGAGCATAACTTAAGTTCCATTTGGCCCACAATGTTCAAACTTCATAGGATGATTGTCCATAATGGGTTGAAGACCCCTATTGATTTTGGGGTAAAAAGGTCAAGGGTCAAGGTCACTATATCCTTAAAACTGAAAACAGTTTTCGGAGCATAGTTCCATTTGGCCTACAATATTCATACTTCATAGGATGATTGTCCATATTGGGCAAAAGACCCCTATTGATTTTTGGGTTCACTAGGTCAAAGGTCAAGGTCACAATTACCTTAAAACCAAAAACAGTTTCCGGAGCATAACATAAATTCCATTTGGCCCACTATATTCAAACTTCATAGGATGATTGTCCATATTAGGTAGAAGACCGCTATTGATTTTGGGGTCACAAGGTCAAAGTCACTTTTACCTTAATACTGAAAACATTTTCTAGAGCATAATTAAAGTTCCAATTGGCCCACAATATTCAAACTTCTTAGGATAATTGTCCATATAAGGTAGAAGACCCCTTTTGATTTTGGGGTCACAAGGTCAAAGGTTAAGGTCATTATTAATAACTTAAGTATTAATCAACCTACAGCTGTAAAATTTTATAGGATGAACAGCTAATTCCCATGTCTTACAAATGCTTCATCCTTACTAAAAAAAAAAAACACTTTCGGGCATATAATGCTCCGCCTAGCGGTGCTCTTGTTTCTCCTTTGTAATTGTCCGTACTATATTCCCCTTTAAACACCCAAATAGGTTTATTAATTGTTGCTCTCTTTAATCCAACTTTCAAAACAAACTCCAGGCTCCAGGACCTGCTGATTACACACTATACATGTATACAGCAGGTGACGTAGATTTTTCTACATACTACACTGCCATATATGGTAAGTACACACGACTGTGTGACAGGTGTAACATACATAATGATCTATTATTATGCTGGCTAGTGAATGGAGTTAATTAACTGGGTTAATACAGTATGGTTTGTTGGTTAAGTGGCAAGGTAATCTAAATTTTCAAGTGTACCCCTAAAATTTAACAAAATACAAACAAAAACAAAAAAGAAAAAACAAACAAAAAAAATCAAAGCTAAAAAATTCTGCTGTTAGTCATTTAATTTCAAATATTTGTATTCTAAGCAGATTAATATTATTTGCAGGATAATTCCTTTTATTCAATAGTAATGAGAAATGGATTTGCTACACCCCTCCCTTCTTTGTGCATTTAGAATCTGACAAGTCAGGACCAGTAAATGAAAACTTAGGTGGTCATCAAAGCAGGTGGTAATCATTGATTTTACAAACAAAACACCTATACTTGCAGTGTAAATTGCATTTTCAAATAACACTGAAATACTGGTATTGAGACTAATTCCGTTCTATTTTCTCAAAGGGCTAGATCTGTCAAGTAATCATATTGTACATATTTTTCTCAGACCACTTGTTTTATTACAGGTATTGTCACCTTTTTCCAAGACATTGTTAATTTCAGTAAATAAGGAACAAGTTCAATTATTTTGTTTAAAGATGAAAAATAAATGTAAAATAAACAACAACAAAAGTGTTTACATTGTATGTCTGTTATTATTTGAAATATTAAACAAAGAAAATATCAACAGAAATACATTTGCCTACATATTTTAATTTGTCTAAATACAATGCACAGTATATCATGGGAAAATATATACTGTGTATTGCTATACTCAGTTTGCTCCAATCAAAAAAAAAAAGAAAAAAAAAAAAAAATCCCCTACCTACCTACCCACCTCTTGAACTTAGGGTAGGAGCACTACAAACAAACAATTTTTTAAGGATGGCCCGAAGAAGATGAAAATTTTATATCATTACATCACTCATTTCATCCATTTATAGATATACATTTTGGTAATATATAAGATGTTATTTAATTGTTATGAATTTTTTTGCTTATCCTATTTGTTTAAATATAATATTATTGTATATGTATTGCTTTTTTTTGCAGGCAAGAGTTGGTATTTATGAGAAGGCAATTTATTCAGCATTAAGTGGTAACCTACGAGGTGTATTGCCAGTATGTAAGTCCTGGCTGGACTATGTGTGGGCATATTTCCGTGTGTTTGTTGACCGGAAAGTGGAGGATGAAATCAGATTGAAGACAACATTGAGCCGATCTCTAGCCATTCTACCAGGAGAGTACTGGGAGAAAAAGTAATCTTCATTTTAAAGTATTATCAAAGATGTGTATTTATACTCAATCAAATTAAAACCACGAAACAAGTGATAGCCTTATAAATCTTTATTTTTTGAATAACTGGCTAAGAAACATCAGTCCAAATGAATGATTATATGATAAATATAACTTAAACAGGAAATAAGACATAAAACATGTTAAAACCATTAAGTCTGGTGTAATCCGAGCCAGTATGCCTCCTTCTTTCTTGGTATTGGCTTACAAGCCTAATCCCCAAAAGAACATGGATGATAGCAAAGCGTTTGCAACCATCCAGTGTTTATGCCCAAGAAAGAAGGGTACCTTGAAGAGCAATACAGTGTTTGATTATTATCAAAGACCTGTACATAACCAATTAAAGGATGTGCTTATATTGATATTACATGTTTTATATTCAGTAAAGTACCAGTTTTTCTATTGATTTATTATCATTGTTGTGCACATTTGTTGATATTTTATTTGAAGTTATAAAGGTCATTTGAAATGAAAATATTTATATGTAATTTTGCAAAATAATATTGTTAGTTAACTGTAAAAACTGTTAAATGAAATTAATATTTGTCATGAAGAAAAACAATATATTTATCAGTTCAGTTTATAAATTGATATAAAATTGTAGTCTGACAACAAGATCTGTGTTCAAGGAGATAGAAGCCAATGAAGTGATGCAGAAAGAATCAATGGGTCTTTATCATCTGATACAGAAATATGTTATTGTTGGAGACATTTCTGGTTAGTATGAACTTTAGTATACATTACTAGTAGAAATAATGAAAGGTTTATACCTCCAGTAACATACATATGCCAGGGCAGCCTGCATGTCCTTGCAAAGGTAAAGAAACATACTAAAATATTGTCATAAATATATTACAACATATTCAATATGGACAGTCCATCCTATATGCAAAGATGCAAGGAGATTGAACCTTTTAATGAATTAACATGGACAGATTTATTTACTAATGGTAGAGAGAGCATAAGTAAATGAAAACATTTATGTTAGACAATTATAAATATATCCCCTAGATGTATAATGAAGTTATGTTTATATATATATAGGATTATTGGATTTAATGAAGTTATGTCTATATATGTTATATGTTATTTTGGTTTTGGAGTGATATATGTGGATATATTACCTGTCAAGATTTTATATCACCTGAGCTGTCAGGCAAGGGCGATATTTTATCTTGGCAGGTAATAAATCCACATATATCACTCCAAAATCATAATTAGTCCCCTACCGGTTTACCGGAGGGGACTTTAGGTTTACCCTCCGTCCGTCTGTCCGTCAGTCCGTCCGTCTGTCCGTCCGTCTGTCCGTCCGTCAGTCCGTCCGTCCACAAAACTGGATCCCGCGATAACGCAAAAAGTACTGAAAATATTGTAATGAAACTTGATATATGGATTGATGGCAGTATGGAGATTATGCACGTCTTTTTCTTTTCTTCCTATGTTGAAAATTCTGGTTGCTATGGCAACAAATAGACTGAAAATATGGCAAATTTTACACATAACCTGGATCCCGCGATAACGCAAAAAGTACTGAAAATATTTTTATGAAATTTGTTATATGGATAGATGGCAGTATGGAGATTATGCACGTATTTTTCTTTTCTTCCTATGTTGAAAATTCTGGTTGCTATGGCAACAAATAGACTGAAAATATGGCAAATTTTACACATAACCTGGATCCAGTGATAACACAAAAAGTACTGAAAATATGTTTATGAAACTTGACATATGGGTAGATGGCAGTATGGAAATTATGCACATTCTTTTCTTATCTTCCTATGTTGAAAATTCTGGTTGCTATGGCAACAAATAGACTGAATTTCAAGATTTCTGGTTCTAGTTTTTAAGTTTTTTCACTATAAGTTCTTTATTTCTTAAGGTATTTTCTTCAAACTTTAAATATAAGTTGCTTGTCATCAACCACATCATATGTGACAAGGTTTTCAACTCTAGCACAGAATTTTTCAGAATTACCTCCCTTGAACTTTAAATTTTCATGAAAAAAACATTGTTTTTTTTTTTAATAACTTCTTTTTCTGAATGTATCTACTTCAAACTTCATATAAATGTTTCTTATTATCACTCAACATTAAATTTTGTGAGTGTTCAATACTCTAGCAAGACTATTTCCAGAATTATGCCCCTTTTAAACTTAGACTTTTTTTTGAGAAATTAGTAATTTTTACTCCAACTTCTACAATCATGATAGGATTTTAAAAATGTTATATTTTGATAACAGGGATGTTTAAAAAATAACTTTAGAGTGTCTTTCAGTCCGTCTGTCTGTACATAAAAACTGTTTCCTGTGATCACTTTTAAAGAACTTTTTCAACAAATTTACTTAAAATAGGAACCTAAGTGAATGGCCCTTCAGAATGTTGCTTGGGCTCTTACCGGTAGGGGACTTATGGATTGCTTGCAATACTATGATAATTGCTTGTTTTATTACCCTTCCCCTGCCAAGTTAAGACAATTTTAAAACAAATCACTTTAAAGAAACGTCGAAATAAGATTCACTTTAGGGTACCCCTTCACCACAACGTGACGTCACATAAATACATGACGTATTTTCTTTCTAACCTAATGAATGTAAACAAGAGAAAAGGAGTAGTCTGTTGAAAGCACTTTTTTGGAATTAATATCAAGCTTTCACAAGGTCATATTTGTTTTCAATACTGATGAGAATACATATCATTACTCTATTTTGGTAAATATTTTTCATTTGACAGTTAAAAGTGCTTGTAAATCAGAATTTACATCGCGTAAAATCAAACCATACGTGCATCGCTACAGCGCATGTTGTTTACAATGTGGGGTACCCAACGGGGAAATTTAGTGTGTATATTACCCGTCTGGCTCGGTAATATCAATTTCTTTCGGGTGATCAATATCTAATCAAAAAGGCGGAAAAGATCTGGAAGGGTAATAAATATATATATTTAGGATTATTGGATTTAATGAAGTTATGTCTCTATATATATTCAGGATTATTGGATTTACTGTCTATATATATTCAGGATTATTGGATTTAATGAAGTTATGTCTATATATATATATATATATATATATATATATATATATATATATATATATATATATATATATATATATATATATATATTATTGGATTTACTGTCTAAATATATTCAGGGTTATTGGATTTACTGTATATATATATTCAGGATTATTGGATTTACTGTATGAACGTGTGAGGCAACAAGGACAAGATGTCTCGTTACATGCTCTCAGATTTATGGCTCATTTTGTTCTCTTTCTCAGAACCTCCGAGCAAAATACAAAGGTAAATAGTTTATCAAAAAGCTTCTAGCAACTTTTTGCAGCTGTCCATATGTGAATAGAATAGCTTTTGCTTTGTTGTAAATATTGAAAACTATTGAAGAAAGACACTTTTTACTCGTTATGCCCCCACAATGTGGGAGCATATAGCGTTGCACTTGTCCGTCCGTCCGTCAATCCGTCAGTCAGTCAGTCAGTCCGTCCGTCCGTCCGTACGTCCCGAAATATTGTGAACGCAACTCCTCTTAAACAGGATGGCAGATTTTGCTTTAACTTACAGGGATGAACAACCTTAATGTGTAGATGGTAGTAAAGGAAGGAATTTTCGCTGTGACCAAATTTAACAGAATTATGGCCCTTTGTTGATTTTTTCACTAGATACTATGTAGAAATTTTGTGAACGCAACTCCTCTTAAACCTGTTGGCAGATTTTGCTTAACCTTACAGGGATGAACAACCTTAATGTGTGGATGGTAGTAAAGGAAGGAATTTTTGTTGCAACCAAATTTAACAGAATTATGGCCCTTTGTTGATTTTTTCATTATATACTATGTAGAAATTTTGTGAACGCAACTCCTCTTAAACCGGATGGCAGATTTTGCTTAAACTTGCAGGGATGAACAACCTTAAGGTGTAGATGGTAGTAAAGGAAGGAATTTTTGCTGCGACCAAATTTTACAGAATTATGGCCCTTTGATGATTTTTTCACTATATACTATGTAGAAATTTTGTGAATGCAACTCTTCTTAAACCGGATGGCAGATTTGCTTAAACTTCCAGGGATGAACAACCTTAATGTGTAGATGGCAGTAAAGGAAGGAATTTTTGCTGCAACCAAATTTAACAGAATTATGGCCCTTTGTTGAATTTTTCATTATATACTTTGTAGAAATTTTGTGAACGTAACTCCTCTTAAATCGGATGGCAGATTTTGCTTAAACTTCCAGGGATTTACAACTTTAATGTGTAGATGGTAGTAAAGGAAGGAATTTTTGCTGCGACCAAATTTAACAGAATTATGGCCCTTTGTTGAATTTTAGTTTTCAACTTGTGGCACATGTAGTCCAAAAAATATTTGACCTAGAGTCATAAGATTGACAGAACAGTGGCGTGTGGGGGCATCCGTGTCCTATGGACACATTTCTAGTTTTCACTATAAATGATTGGAATGTGTCACCAATGTAGTGTACACTGGCTGCCTACATCTTGTTATTATACTGCTGACAGCTCATATTTAGTATCGTAATAATTGAATTTTCTGTAATGTAACATTGGCAAGCATATAATTGAAAAGCTGAGTAAGTGTAATAATTTGAATGCAAGCTAAGATTTAAATCTTATTTGTTTTGTGGTAGTGCTTGATATATACTATCCACATATCTCTGTTTTGTGTTCTTATTAGCATGAGGCTGGCATAATATTATTTTCTTCAACTCGTGCAATACAGTATTGAACTTACACTCATTCAATATTCTATTTATCACAAACCCAAAATAAGACCGTTCAAAGTGAAATAAGAGTCATTTTTCATTGACAAGCCTACAGTACAACGCTAACATTTAACGCGTCTTTACACTATGTTTGTATAACCCTTATGACGTCATGTCAAAATATATGCACGGCCGTGCAATACATGTACCAATTTACAGTCGCAAAATTGGCACGGGTGTGTGATATTATATAATTATGTACTTTAACCAGACTAAATGTTGACAATTGTTATTTTTCTGTTAAAAAACAAAACTTTTCTCTACAATTTTGCATGTCTTAATGCCTTTAATCAGTAAATATTGATGAAAATGAATACATTGTTATTGTAGGAGGAGTTGTGTAATTCAATATTAGAGTGTTATGTTGAACGACTGATCAGAGACAAACATTATAATCTCATTGCTTACTATGTATCAAAGTTACCACTCAATGCTCAAGTCCATTGGTATGCTCTCTTCTTAGAAGGTAAATTACAATTTTATATATTATATAACTAAAAAAAGTAAAAAAAAATGTTAACTTGAGAGGTTAAAGTGACATGGTGAGTGTACAGGGGTAAAAATAAAAATAACATCACATTTTGACATAGTTGTTTTCAATTTTATATTTTACTGAATTCACATATATAATCATTAACCGATGTGACTCACAATGGAATCTATATATATCCTTCTGATTGTATTGATGATGTTCAGGTTTTAAATAGAGTGGGGTAGTCTTTTTACATATTTCATATTTTTTTCTTAAACATTTTTTATTATCAGTCATTGGTCAAAAACCATTATAATGGTCACTCTTTTGCAATGTATTGTAAATTCAGCTCAACTTGACAGCGAAAAAAAACAAAGAGAAAAAATATCACTTGAAATAATTCTAACACTTGTAATAAGATTCTGTTTAGAGCCAAATTCTGATTGTTCTATTATGATTTTTTTTGTTTATTCATTAATGAATTGTTTAACTTTGAAAAAAAAAAAACACTAAATTTTGAAATATAAACATAAGACCTGATTGTAGTTAACAATGATATTTCAGGTATAACTAACAAGGATGAGCGTCAACATTACCTGGACCTCGCCGAGGAAGCTGGTCTAGATCTAGCAGCTGTCACGAAGAAAGTTGTAGAAAATATTCGTATGAAATCAGATGTAGACTTTACATCTATACATGAAGCCCAGGAGTCTGTAGACACTGTCATCTCAGAGGTTGGTCTTATTATGATTTCTAGTATGAAATTTGGTGAGATCAGGTGATAAAAAATGTGACATGTGCCAAATATTCTCCTTTGTTTACAATGAATTCAAAGTAGATAATCAAAATCACTGTACCCTATCTTGCTAGTCTATTTAATTTAATGTGTACCATGTCTTGCCATTACAAGCACATGTTACTTCCAATCACTGAACCTTACTTGGGTGGCTATATATTTTAACTTGAACCTTTGTTGAGATAAGAGGAAGTAGACTCATTTATATATTGTGGAATTCTTTTGATCAATTTTGTATATTTATTTCCTTATTCTACTAATACTGTTTAATTTCTTAATTCATATAAAATGCAGACGTAAGAAAAATACAAAAAGAAAATGAGAACCAGAACAAAGCTTCATCATAAGTCTTTAGAAGCTACATAACAGATGTTATATTTTAGTGAAATATTAGTTGGATGTTTTCAATTATTTTTACAGCATTTTTAGCTCACCTGTCACGGTGAGCTTTTGTGATCGCTTTTCGTCCGGCATCCATCCGGCATCCATAACCTTTTACTTTAAATGACATCTCCTCATAAACCACTAAGCCAATTTCATCCAAACTTCACAGGAATGTTTCTTTGGTGGTCACCTTTGAAAATTGTTCAAAGAATTTAATTCCATGCAGAACTCTGGTTATCTGGATATCTTCTTCTAAAAAACCCAAAGAGCTAGAGCTTAGATATTTGGCATGAAACATCTTCTAGTGAGTGTCTACCAAGTTTGTTCAAATAAAAGCCCTGGGGTCAAAATTGGCCCCGCCCCAGGGGGTCATTGATTTTCCCTATATGTATATAGTAAAAACTTAAAAAATCTTCTTTTAAAGAACCCAAAGAGCTAAAGCTAAGATATTTAGCATGAAACAACTTCTAATGGGTGTCTACCAAGTTTGTTCAAATAAAAGCCCTGGGGTCAAAATTGGCCCCGCCCCAGGGGGTCATTGATTTTCCCTATATGTATATAGTAAAAACTTAAAAAATATTCTTTTAAAGAACCCAAAGAGCTAGAGCTAAGATATTTAGCATGAAACATCTTCTAATGGGTGTCTACCAAGTTTGTTCAAATAAAAGCCCTGGGGTCAAAATTGGCCCCGCCCCAGGGGGTCATTGATTTTTCCTATATGCATATAGTAAAATCTTAAAAATCTTCTTTTAAAGAACCCAAAGAGCTAGAGCTAAGATATTTAGCATGGTACATGTTCTAATAGATTTCTACCAAATTTGTTGAAGTAAGAGCCCTGGGGTCAAAATTGGCCCCGCCCGAGGGGGTCATTGATTTTTCCAATATGAATATAGTAAAAACTTTAAAATCTTCTTTTAAAGAACCCAAAGAGATAGAGCTAAGATATTTAGCATGGTACATGTTCTAATGGATGTCTACCAAGTTTGTTCAAATAAGAGCCCTGGTGTCAAAATTTGCCACGCCCCGGGGGACATTGATTTACCTTATATGTGTATAGCAAAAACTTAAAAGTCTTCTTCGAAAAAACCCGAATAGCTAGAGTTTAGATATTAAGCATGAAACATTTTCTAGTAAGTGTCTACAAAGATTGTTCAAATAAAAGCCCTGGGGTCAAAACTTGCCCTGCCCCAGGGGTGTCATTGTATGTGTAAAGAAAAAACTTAAAAAATCTTCTTTTAAAAAACCCAACAAGCTAGACCTTAGATGTTTAGCATGAAACATCTTCTAATGGGTGTCTACCAAGTTTGTTCAAATAAAAGCTCCTGGGGGCCTATATACAGGTGAGCGACTTCAGGGCCATCATGGCCCTCTTGTTTATCTTGATGTTGTACAATTTTTAGCTTGACTGTTTTGAAGACAAATGCAAGCTATTATGATCGCCATGTTGTGCAAATACATTGATGTAGACCATTATTCTAAAGTTTTAAAAGTTAATGACATGAAACGTCGAATGCATGCTTATAACATGTGAGACAAGGGGCATAATTTTGATTTTTTTTCAAGTTATGCCCCTTTTTAACCAGGGTCTTTCAAATAGAATAAGTCTTCTATTTGAAACACAATGTTTCAACTTAGAATTTTTGTTAAAATTGGTTATTGATAGTTGTTGTCCTTTACAGAGGAGCGTTCACACTGCATGTGTTGCTGTTCTTATATTGTATAACACAAACATAGTGTGGTTGTTATGTAAAGTTCTATATAGGTTTTTATTTGTCATATTGCAGGAGGACAGACTTAAGATAGAAGCTATAGATTGGTTAGTGTTTGATATTGGCCAGCGTGCTGAAGCTCTCAAACAAGCCAATGCTGTGATGAGAACTTTCATTGGTAAGCTGTTAGTGTACTAACATTGATATCTGAACCAGTTCACACTCCACATCTTAAATCATCTTGTGTATGGTGGATCGGAATACATTTATCTGTGTTGTTTGGAATGAAAAGGAAAGATATAGATAGGAAATGATGTTTTATCTATAAAATAATCATATGAATAATCATATAAATACATTAATGGGAAAAGAGCTTAAAAATATAAGTAGTTTCAGACTACAGAGCATATTAAGAAATGGCTCAATACAAAACTTCAATGATATAACAAATCTGTGAATGTAAATTATGTTTGTATTACTATCTTGACTTTCCTCTGAGAAAGTCTAAATACTTCCTAGTTGTCTAAATATGTCTAAATAGTTAAAGGTGGCAGCATGGCTGAGAGGGTAACATGTCAGACTAGTAATCTAATGATTGCTAGATGCACAAGTTCAAATCCTTGTCAGTGGCAACCCATTGTTTCCTTGAGCAAAAAACTATCCACTTGTTGCTCTGTACTTGTTGGTTGCAAGAACATATCTGTGAGTCTTTTTATAAGGTAACAGCTTCCTACACAATCAACTAAAATAAGTTCTGAATATAAACTAATTAGTATAAAGTCAAGATATAAAGAGTGTATATTTTATTGTAGCATTAAAGAAGATAGATGCAGCTCGTGCAGTGTTTGAGAAATTACCACCAGATTCTGTAGATGTTGTACATAGAACCTGGCTGCAACAGGTAATACTGGCATGACCAGATATTTTAACAATATATGAATTGTTTTTATGAGAAAGTCATCAGAAAAATTATTGTTAAAATTACTTGATTTATTTTTTGCCTGACTTGGACTTCAGGCATATATCACTAATAATTGTCATTGGTCTAAAGATATTCATTTGTTATGAATTGTTAAATTGTCTATGAGACTGATATAACTGTGATGTTTCAGACTGGGACAACTATGTTACCACTAGAAGACAAGAACGCTGTGAGGGAATATCTCTGTTTTAAAGCTTATCTGGTAATGAGGATATATTTATACAGTGTAACTTCCGAATTCCGGAACTTCTGAAATCCGGAAACTTCTAAAAACCGAACAATTTTTTCGGTCCCGATTTTTTCCCTTCTATTTTCTATTAATATAATACTTCTGAATTCCGGAACCTCTAAATTCTGAATTCCGGACAATATTTTCGTAAAAAAAGAGTCAAATCAATGCAATTTTACCTCCAAAATCCGGACATATCCAAAGGTGTGAAATACATTGTTAATCGAGAATGTTTACCCCGAGAAGATCGAGAAGATTTGATCTCCCTATCGACTGTTTACTTATAAGCAGTGATCGTGTAATTTAACACGTGTTAAAATCACAAGCTGTGAATGGTATGTTTGAAGTGATGCGGTTAATTCAAATAATTTAATGGCGGTCAGTTGTTTTAAAGTGATTCTTAGCGGATTAAATGGCAATTAATTGCGACAATATATGTATCAAACGTCTTCAGGGATTTATTGCATTTGATGTACTAATTAACTAACTAGCATCAGAAAATATGTAAGTTTATGCTTTTAACAACATTTCTACAAACTGATAATCAAGTAATGGCCACATTTTCCTTGACATTTAGTGACCTTTAGTGGCTTAGTCAAGTCCACATTATCTTAAACCTCTGAATTCCGGAAACCTCTGAAATCCGAACTTTTTGACAAGTCCCATGGGTGTTCGGTTTTCAGAAGTTACACTGTACTTTGTCAAAACAAAACTTTCTGATTATTTTGTAAATGTTTTTACATATATTTACCTTCAAACATTACTCATATTTATACCCCCGCACAACAAAGTTGTAAGGGGGGTATACTGGAATCAGCTTGTCCGTCCGGCCGGCTGTCCGTCAGTTTTTTCTTGTCCACCCAATAACTTAAGATTCCTTTGACCCACAGTCTTCATATTTGGCATGGAGGTTAGTCATAATTAGTAGATGACCCCTATTGATTTTGAGGTCACCAGGTCAAAGGTCAAGGTCACAGGGGCCTTGACTTCAAAAAGCTTGTCCGCCCAATAACTTAAGATTCCTTTGACCCACAGTCTTCATATTTGGCATGGTGGTTAGTCATGATTAGTAGATGACCCCTATTGATTTTGAGGTCACCAGGTCAAAGGTCAAGGTCACAGGGGCCTTGACTTCAAAAAGCTTGTCCGCCCAATAACTTAAGATTCCTTTGACCCACAGTCTTCATATTTGGCATGGAGGCTAGTCATGATAAGAAGATGACCCCTATTGACTTTGAGGTCACCAGGTCAAAGGTCACAGGGGCCTTGACTTCAAAAAGCTTGTCCGCCCTATAACTTAAGATTCCTTTGACCCACAGTCTTCATATTTGGCATGGAGGCTAGTCATGATTAGTAGATGACCCCTATTGATTTTGAGGTCACCAGGTCAAAGGTCAAGGTCACAGGGACTTTGGCTTCAAAAAGCTTGTCCGCCCAATAACTTTAGATTCCTTTGACCCACAGTCTTCATATTTGGCCTGGATGTTGATCATGATTAGTAGATGACCCCTTTTGATTTTGAGGTCACTGGATCAAAGGTCAAGGTAATAGGGACTTTGACTTCAAAAAGTTTGTCTGCCCAATAACTTTAGATTCCTTTGACCCACAGTCTTCATATTTGGCATGGATGTTCATCATGACTATAAGGTGACCCCTATTTATTTTGAGGTCACTGGGTCAAGGTCACAGGGACCTTGACAAAAAAAAGCTTTTCTTCTCAATTGCTAAAGAATGTCCTGTCCGCAATGTATTGATTTTGACATTTTCACATTTGAAGCATGTGGAATACATAACTTAGCAATGCACTGGCTTAGTAACCTCAGATTTGGCAGGGAGGTTGTCCTTGAGCTCTAAATGGCCACTGTTGATTCTGACAAAGTGGTATGCGGGGGTATTCACGCCATGATAGTGGCAGTTCTAGTTTTACATGGATTTTGACAGAATTATGGCCCTTTTTAAACTTATAATTTTACATTATCCAGGCTCTTTTTTTACTATCAAGCACTAAGAATATCCAAGCATGCTATCCTACCATCATCTCTTGTTGGTATAGCTTGTCGCCTTACATAATTATGATAAGGGTTTGTGGCCAAACTTTCATATCAACAATAGACAATGAAAGGGACTCATGAGTAAACATGTTGTTTATACGAACTTAAAGTTTCCAGTGACAATATGCTTTTGATACAGAAAAAGTACATATGAGCCGTGTCATGACAAAACCAACATAATGAGTTTGCGACCAGCATGGATCCAGACCAGCTTGCGCATCTACGCAGTCTGATCAGGATCCATGCTGTTCGCTTACAAATCCTGTTACATGTAGAGAAACTGATAGCAAACAGCATGGATCCTGATCAGACTGTGCAGATGCGCAGGCTGGTCTGGATCCATGCTGGTCGCAAACCCATTATGTTGGTTTTGTCGTGACGTGGCTCATATATGTTTAAGTGTTTAAAGTGATTTCTGGTTTGATAGGCAGTAACTTGCATTAAATGAGTTCATGTTTGTGCATGATTCAGGAGATTTGATTCAGAATTTTGTTTTATCAGGATGCCATGGAAAGTTTCAATGATTGGATCCAGCACTACCACCATGGACAACCGACACAACCAGCACCACCGGAGGGTGGATCATTCACTGATAGGGTAGCTTATGAACACAGAATGAAACAATATGATCAAGAAAGAGAACGATGGCACCACAATTTGCTAATGCAAACACAGGTATGATCATTCTAAGTTGTGTAAAGGAACTAAAAGTTAATCAAGCATTTTTTTCAGCAGTATGGAGCCAGGTTAGCCTGATCAATATTAAGTTTTATTCTGATACCAATCAGCTCTATAATGTATACTGAATAAGTCTATTTTAGAATTTTAGCAGGTTAAATATAAAAGCATTTTCATTAGCTGATTGGCAGAACATCTATGTCACATATATTACTTTTATTTATGTGTGTTTGGAACTATGAATAGTTAAAGATATAAAATTTTACAAAGATTTTCATATGATTTCTGCCCTTAAGTGTCTTTAGTTTTTCAACCTTTGATAAATGATTCATCTGTTTTGTTTTTACAGACAACCAAAGATCATATATACAATGTGTTACTGTTTGCTGATGGTGGCTGGATGGTGGATCAAGCTGAGGTACTTACATTCTCAATATTATTTTACTTCATTTTGTTTTTGCTTGGAGATATGCAAATTCTTGTACAGGAAGGTTGTTATCTGCATGAATTCTGTACTTGTATTATTGCTGGTAATAAACCTTTATGTATACATTGTTTCTAAGTTATTAACACAAAACCCTTGAAACAAAGGAAGAATATGTGTTGAAATAGTTTAAATCTAGTTTATATATTAGTAAGTCATATGCAATCGGAAAAACAGATCAACATAATCAGTTTATTTTATTCATCACCATTTATTGGCCTCGTCTGCATCAGACCTTGGTAATATAAAATTTATATGAGGCAATATATAATAAAAGGAAACATATATTGGAATGTTGGATGAAGCCTTTTCTCAAATTTACAGAAGTATGATAGATGAAGTATTGTTTGTTCCCTTGTTCTTCACTAGGTTAATGCTTTGATTGCACCTTTTTCAGGATAAAATAACGATTAGCATTAAGTATTAGCATTAATCATTTATCAACCAAGTTTAAACTGTGATACTAAGTAACAAGGGAAATTCATTGCTGACATTGTCTTGATATACGAGTATGTACATATAAAAAAATTGGTAATGATAAAACAATGCTAAAATATTCTCTGTAACAACGGTGCTGAAAAATATTTGTCCACTTGAGTATGTCAGTATGAGAAAAATAATAATCTATATAGTTGTACAGTACAGTTGTCATCTGTGGCTTACCATTTGTTGTGTGCTGTTATAGGTAATTGTGTAGAAAATATCCAACATGGAGGAGAACATAAAACTTGATTACAATCCTATCTGGTTATTAAGTAATAGAAAAATATTGGTTTATTGGTATATAAAGTAGATATTTGTATTACAGGAGGAAGGAGAGGAGAGTATAGCAGACAGACCAGATAGTGACCCATTACGACATGAACAGATGGATTGTCTACGTCACCTTGTACTACCAGGTCTTGTCTTTCTACTACAAACTGTTCTACATACTAGTGAACAATATCAGGAATGTGTTCGTCTTGCTGACATCTTAGCAGCTGAGCAAAACAAACTGTACCAGGTAATATATATATACTTCACTATTGTACCTTTAATACTACTGTTGATTATAGTAAAATATTTCTAACAAGTTCCATGATTTTTCTTCTAAAAGACTATTAGAAATAAATACAAACATTTTGGAGTTGGTATTCAAAAAAAGTTCTTTCGTAAAATGTTAAAAAAAATTAGTGTCATGTCTGCCTATTTTTTTTTTTTATTAGCTAAATCTTGTGATTGGGTTGTCTCTCGATTATTTTAGTAGATCTGATGAGATATCAGAGGTGAAAAATATCAAATATTGCACCTGTAATTTAGTAGCTACATCACCTATATTTCTGTTGTTTACTTGCAGGTGTTTAGACAAGTACATAGCTATATTTCTGTTGTTTACTTGCAGGTGTTTAGACAAGATGAGTTACAGAGAGTGCTACATCTTCTACGAGAGTCCTCCTTGAAATTGTTAGATCAGGGACGTGGTCCTCTAGGATATGAACGTAACTAATGTTAAATGTCAGAATCAAGTTGGACACACTAATTAACACTAAATGACACCCTGTTCAAGAACGCCCAAGAAATGGACGAGAGTGTCACATAACATTCTTATGTATATTTGTTTGAATATAAACATTGATAAAATCTATGAAGAAATTATGTTTCGTTTTGAAAATACCAGACATTTTTGCATGATTGATAGATATATTGACAGATATTTACTCATGCCATAAATTTAATGAGAAATGCATTACAGAGTAAATGTATTTGCTTGTTTTCTTTCTGATTTGTAAAGAAAACAAACTTAGTTTCAGTGTTTACACAAATAAATAAATCATGAAATCAAAGCTTCAGATAATCTGTGTTTGTTTACATCATATGAAATAAAGATATGAATAATTTTATAGTTGTCTTTGATATTTTATGTCATATACTCTTTCTAATCAAATTTAGTGACATTAAGTTTGTTTAATTGGTTATTTTTAGACTGCAAACACTTTGAAAACTAGATAAAAGATAATTTTTCTTAAGTTTTTAAAGGGGACAGACTATTACAGGTAACAACTTTAAATTAAGATTTGATTTATTCGTTACTAGAGGAAAGGTGAAGGATTATTTGTTAGATTTTCATAGGTAATAAAAAAAGATGTACATTAGTTCTGATTTTAGAAATACATTCGGCAATAAATTACAAAATAGCAGCTGCTTCTGTGTGGTAGTGTCAGTGTTACATTTTAAGTTAAATCTTTTCAATATTGGACTGGCCATATTTTATGTGTAGTTCTACGCCAAATTTTACCATTGGTAATTTGATGTTTATGCCTTCTATAATATTTAACTGAATATTGGTGGTTTTCCCCTTGACTAAACAAATAAAAGGCAACCAGGGCTCTCTGCCTTGGATAATAAAGGGTCAACATGGCCTATTACGATAAAGTGATTACCTAGGACATGCAATGAAAGAACTGAACTATGAAAGGTAGAACAATGAAGGGTCAACACTGCCCTCGTTGCCCTGAACTATGAAATGGTTACCACAGCCCTTGTACAATGAATAGTCAACACGGCCCTCGTTGCCCTGAACTATGAAAGGGCTATCATAAAACCCTCGTAACAATGAAGGGTACACATGACCCTCGTAGCCCAGAACTATGAAAGTGTTATCACAGCCCTCGTACAATGAATGTTAGAAACGGCCCTCTTGCCCTGAATTATGAAAGGGTTATTACAGCCCTCGTACAATAAAGATTAAACACTGCCCTCGTTGCCCTGAACTATGAAAGGGTTATCACAGCCCTCGTACAATGAAGGTTTAACACGGCCCTTGTTGCCCTGAACTATGAAAGGGTTATCACAGCCCTCGAACAATGAAGAGTCAACACGACCCTCGTTGCCCTGAACTATGAAAGGGTTATCGCAGCCCTCGAACAATGAAGAGTCAACACCGCCCTCGTTGTCCTGAACTATGAAGGGTTATCACAGCCTTTGTACAATGAAGGTCAACACGGCCCTCGTTGCCCTGAACTATTGAAATGGTTATCACAGCCTTTGTACAATCAAGGGTCATCACGGCCGTCGTTGCCCTGAACTATGAAATGGTTATCACAGCCTTTGTACAATCAAAGTGTCAACACGGCCCTCGTTGCCCTGAGCTATGAAATGGTTATCACAGCCTTTGTACAATCAAGGGTCAACACGGCCCTCGTTGCCCTGAACTATGAAAGGGTTATCACAACCCTCGTACAATGAAGGTTAAACACGGCCCTCGTTGCCCTGAACTATGAAAGGGTTATCACAGCCTTTTGTACAATCAAGGGTTAACACGGCCCTCGTTGCCCTGAACTATGAAATGGTTATCACGGCCTTTGTACAATCAAGTGTCAAACAGGGCCCTCGTTGCCCTGAACTATGAAATGGTTATCACGGCCTTTGTACAATCAAGGGTCAACACGGCCCTCGTTGCCCTGAACTATGAAATGGTTATCACGGCCTTTGTGCAATCAAGGGTCAACATGGCCCTCGTTGCCCTGAGCTATGAAATGGTTATCACAGCCTTTGTATAATCAAGTGTCAACACGGCCCTCGTTGCCCTGAGCTATGAAATGGTTATCACAGCCTTTGTTACAATCAAGGGTCAACATGGCCCTCGTTGCCCTGAGCTATGAAATGGTTATCACAGCATTTGTACAATCAAGGGTTAACACGGCCCTCGTTGCCCTGAGCTATGAAATGGTTATCACAGCCTTTGTACAATCAAGGGTTAACACGGCCCCTCGTTGCCCTGAGCTATGAAATGGTTATCACAGCCTTTGTATAATCAATGGGTCAACACGGCCCTCGTTGCCCTGAGCTATGAAAATGGTTATCACAGCCTTTGTATAATCAAGTGTCAACACGGCCCTCGTTGCCCTGAGCTATGAAATGGTTATCACAGCCTTTGTATAATCAAGTGTCAACACGGCCCTCGTTGCCCTGAACTATGAAGGGTTATCACGGCCTTTGTACAATCAAGTGTCAACACGGCCCTCGTTGCCCTGAACTATGAAGGGTTATCACGGCCTTTGTACTGAATGTTGAAAGGGTTATCACGGCCTTTTGCCCCGAATGGTGAAGGGGTTATCACATCTTTTTGAACCTCAACGATGAATGTTCACCACAGGCCTGGTTGCTCTGAACGATGAAAGGGTTACCATTGCCCACTGCCCTGAATTATGACCACGACTCTCTTGAACATGAACGAGAATCGGTCGGCATTTTTTATTAGTTTGCATTCATTCAGGAGGCCATGATAATGTCAAAATTAGCTACAAATGTAATACTTTACACAAAACAGTTCTCCTCCGTAAAACTTATTTTAAATAAACTAAAGCTATTAATGAAAATCTGTTTTCTTTTCAGTTTACATATGATAAAGCAAATTTTGTAAATGTACGTGTAAAATACATGCTCTCAGATACTCAGATATATCCGCAAAATATAAGATTTCTGCAAGTATGAACATTAAATATTTCGCCAAAACATTTAAGTAGCTGGTATGTATTAACCCTAAGGCACCAAACTGAAAGCAAATATAAAAAAAAGTTTTGTAAAACAGCATGCGTTTTTAGACCAAGTATTAAACTTTTTACTGTGTAGTATATGTCCGACTAAAGATTATATAGATTATATAGCCCCTTATATATGTTGGAGGTCAGAGTAAAGTTTATTAGATATGATATCTCAAACTTGCACAATATACATGTATAATTTTCAAACAAAGATGGCAAATAAAATACTGTTTTATACCATATTAATTATATGTACAAGTATAGCGTTGTGGATTTATCAATGATGGTAATTATATACCCAACAACAGGACCCGATGCTTTAGAGTTTTTGTTAGTGGAGGAAAAACAGATGAGGATCAAACTGGAGGCGAAGATGGAGGATGTAATGAACCGAATAGCATCTGTAGAATCTGAACAAGATAAATGTGGTAAATTCAATATTAAATGAATTCATTTGTTTACAAAAAATGGTGATCATATATAATCATATGTAATTTCGTAAGTGTTAAGTGCCTTACAATCCATTGTATAAGTCATTTTGGAATAATATAGCAGAATGTCAGACCTCGCGATGTGGCTTTAAAATTTTCGAAATAAAATAATTTTACTAGTTTTGAAACTTACCGCAATGATGATAATCAAAATTTTGTTAAATCGTTAAATCATGGAAATCAATGGCAATATTATTTTATGCCAACATATCAGTACATCAGGAAACCGTTGTTTCAAGCCTGTTGGTCTTTCTGTTTATTTATCACAGGTACAAGAAAATTTACTTCTATATAGGGGTCACGGGCTAAAAAAAACAAGGTGGCCCCGGGGCATAGCGTTTATTAAAAAACGTATCGCTTGTTTCATGATACATAATTATGTATATGAATATCGAAGATAAATATTGAAAGTTGAGGTATTTCTATAAACTCTCTTAACTTATTAACAGGTTGCAGGAATGGTATTGGTTCCACAGCTGGACATAAACCGTCTTTTCATGGCAACATTGTCTGCTGAATATCATTGTGGGGGCAAAGCAGCCATTGATATTTGATACTGTTAAACTCAACTCTGGGACAGCGTACCAAACCTACGCACGGCGTGTTTTAAAGCACCTGTTTAATGGAACATAATGCCTTTTTCGCCACTTTTATCAATTCCCCCCAAACAGCAGCTTCCATGTTGAAATGGTAAAAAACGCCGTTACTAACCATGCCGGGCTATATCTCCACGCTGACCATCTAGGTATTTGGATTGAACGAAGTAGTAATGTGATCATACGTTTGCAGAAGGATGACGAAGTGTGGATGGTTTGCTTGTACGACTCTACAATTGAAGGCGACATTACAACAACCAATGAACGATACTTACGATTATCATTCCCATTTTTCAGGTTTTTCTTGTCAGCGAAGATTAAATGGAATTAATGATATTGTACCCATTTTATGCACGTTTTCTGTTCCTATCTTAATGCTCAGTAGAGAAATTACTTAAAGGATAAGGACGTTCAAAATAGGTTATCAATTTTCGTTATTAAAAACATTTTAGGTACTATATTTTTAAGTTTTCTTTAGTAGCTTCATGTCGTACATGTATATGTGATAGGTTATTCATACTTAATATCTATATAAAGCTCTTGTTGTTGTTTTCTACTTCAACTTTTACTTCGGATAAGTCAAGTCATAATATTTCAATGTTTTTTTTTTTCTTCAAAAATTTAGTTTGTTATACGTTTCTTATATATCAATTGGCTTAAATATATGTTACACAGACACTTAAAGAGCATATGGCGACCTTCCAGCTTTGAGGAAAAAAAAAAAAAAAAAACTTCAGGAGCCCAATCGCGCAATATCTAACAAGATTCTCGAAGTTTCTCACACAATTAAAATCTAGTCACCGGGGCAGGATTCGAACTCACAGCGGCAAGGGCTAGTTATTTCAAATCACCGACAGTATATTAGGTCCAGATGTGTCACCCTATTTTTCATAACATGTTTTTAAATAGGCCTTTTAACAGAGTAGTGTCCAAAAGTTGAGATTGCATGATCTTTTGTTGGAGCGATAGAATATAAAGTTTTGCATTTTTTTACTGAAACTTGAAATAACTAAATAGAGAAAATGCAGAATCCCTAAAAGAAAGCCCAACACGACAAAATTGAAAATGTTGCAGGCTCGGTTTGAATTGAGCCTGTTCATGGACGGTACTGGAAAGTGCAAGTTACCGTCCACGCCCCCTAGTACCGGCTTAAGCAGAATTCAACGTTTAAACACTAAAATGGTGAAATTTTGAATTTAAAAACATCCGCAGATGTGTTCATACGGCGGTTTTCATGGAACCTTCAATGTGACATAGTGTCATTCCAT